ACCTCTGGGATGCAGTTAATAGAGGAAAATCTGTGTTCCAGAATAGCTACTAAAAGGCCAGCAAGGGGGCGGGGAGATGGCTCAGTGGAATAAGCATTTCCCTGGCAAGCGCAAGGGCCCAAGTTCAATCCCTGGTTCCACAAAAAATAAATAAATAAATAAAAATTTTAAAAAAATAAAAGGCCAGCAAGATAACTCAGGAGACTTAAGCACCTGCTTAGGCAAGCTCAGGAACTGGGGTTCAATCCCTGGCACCTTATACCATGCTGGCCCCACCCCTGCCCCTGGGTAGGCCGAGCCAGCCACGGAGACCTGCCTCATGGTGCACACCTGTAATCCAGAGCTGGGGAGGCTGAAAACAGGAGGATCACTACCAGTCTGAGCTGCATGGCAAGACCCTGTACCAAATACATAAAAAAATACAAAAATAATAATGGAAAAGCTACTAAGGAAGTGTCCATAAAAGCATGAAAACTTACACCAGAAATCCTAGAACAGGGATTCCTGTTATAGCAGAGCCCAGACAACCTACTGAAAAAAACAAAAGCAGAAGATGTGCCTTGTGCCCCAGAAATAAATATGGAAAAACTGGTACCCAAAGTGATGCTTGTATAATGCCAACTTATAATCAGTGCTGTAAGAAACTGCCTTAAGTGTTTTGAAGATTAATTTTCCATATTACAAATACTTATGCAATGTACTTACAATTAAAAATTAAGAACAGATATTTTTACTTGTATAAAAAATTTGGGGCCGGCGAGATAGCTCAGTAGAATAAGTGCTTGCCTGGCAAACGCAAGGGGCTGAGTTCAATCCCTGGTTCTGCCAAAACAAAACCAAACAAAAAATTTTAATGTATGAGCCCCAAGGACCCATGAAGCTAAAATGAGGGGCCCTGCTCTGAGGCCTCCTAGGCACTTGCATAGTACAGCAGGGGTGCTGGCGGCAGTGGACTGTGGGGTGCAGAGTGTGGAGAGAACATCAGGAAGACCCAGGGCCTCATGTTCCAGTGCAGCACCAGCTCCTGTGGGGACAGCAGGCGTCCGTGCAGCAGGCGCATGGTGGGTCGAGTGCATCCAGTGCTGTCGTGCACCTCTAGCCCAGGCCTTGGTGACCAAGGAGTTGGAAAAGTTCCAGGACCACCTGGCCAGTGCACGACACATTGCAGTGACAAAGCCAAAGATTCCGTCGATGCAGAGACTGAGGAGCTTCGGTGAAACTGGAAAGAGCCAGACAGTTGTGGCCGTGTGTGAACCTCCTCCACCACGTGAACCTCCTTCCAAATACGAACAAGAAGATGAAGGAGCCTCTATTCCATTGGGAAACAAAGGTCTTTGCCAGCAGCCACCAGGATTAAGGGTAGAAACGTATTTAAGAAGAATGGGGCCGGCCAGATAGCTCAACGGACTAATGTGCCTGCTTAGGTAGAGTGTAGTGGCCAGAGTTCAATCCATGGTGTCCGTACCAGCCCTGCCTCTGGGGTGCCACACTGAGATGGTGACTGAGATGGTGACTGAGATGGCATGGTAGTGCGCACCTGTAATCCCAGCCGTTGGGAGACTGAAAACAAGACCCTGTACGAAATATATTTTTAAAAAATAAAAAAAAATGAGAAGTTTGTTTGTTTGTTGTCTTTCTGAGACAGGATCTCACTATGCAGTTTGGGGGGGCCTTTGCAGCTCATGCTGGCCTCAAACTTGCAGTGACACTCCTGCCTCAGCCTCCCGAGTGCTAGGATTACAGGCATGCACTACCATGCCCAGCGATTATCATCTCTCTCACTCTCTTTTTTTTTTTTTTTTTTTTTTTTTTGCAGAACTGGGGATTGGGGGCTGGGGAGATGGCTCAGTGGAATAAGCACTTCCCTGGCAAGTGCAACGGCCTGAGTTCAATCCCCAGTTCCACAAAAAAACAAAACAAAACTGGGGATTGAACTCAGGCTCTTGCACTTGCCAGGGAAGCGCTTATTCTACTGGGCCATCTCCCTGTCCCCCTATTTTTCTTCAATCTGCTTTTATTGGTATATTTCAGATATACTAATGATCACATTCATCACAGAGAATTTGAACCTGTATATGATCTAACTTGATTCTTTTTTCTCCATTATCCTACTCTCCCTTCAACCTCTCCTCTTCCCATTTACAAAAACTTTGTTTCCACTGTTAAGAATGGGAATTGGGGGTGGGAGTGGGATTGAGTTTAGTGGTACGTGCCTGCTTGGATCCTGAGTTCAATTCCTGGCACCAAAAAAAGGAGTTTTAGCCTTTTGAGTAAAATTAATGAACTAAAGATAACAGGGAAAAAAAAAAAAAAAAGATGACAGAAAGTTTAAGATACTTCACTTGCCCCTAGAGCCTGGTTCCTCTATGTTTGGATACTAGAAAATGAAATGGGGCAGCCAGGCCTAGTGGTGCACACCTGTAATCCAGGTACTCAGGAGGCTGAGGCAGGACCATTGTTGTGAGATCGAGACCAGCCTGGGTTACAAATTGAGCTCAAGGCCAGCCTGAACTGCATAGTGAGACCCTGTCTCAATGAATTTAGGACAAGGTCTCACTAAGTAGATTGGACTCGCAGTGATTCTCCTGTTTTCTGCCTCCCAAGCACTGGGATTACAGGTGCACACCATCACGCCCAGTCTCAGTCGTGTCTCAGCGCGCTCCGGGGGTGGGGCCAACATGGCAAGCCAGGGATTGAACCTCCGCTGCTGTGCCCTGCCCTAGCAGGTGCTTTAGTCTGCTGAGCTATCTGTCAGGCCTGTCTCCAAAAAAAGAAAAAAAAAAAGTGAAATGGGGGGATAAAAACTGGTGCTAAAATTTTAGTCAGGCTGGGGAGATGGCTCAGTGGAATAAGCACTTCCCTGGCAAGTGCAAGGGCCTGAGTTCAATCCCCGGTTCCGCAAAATAAATAAATAAATTAATAAATAAATAAAATTTGAGTCAAACATAGCAGGAAAATTTCTAGGGCCTTTCTTGCATATAGCAAGAGCTTTCCTGGCACTCGAGATCTCTCTCATACCGCTTGCGAGGCCTCCAAGCCCACAAGAATGTGAAGAGAGTGGTTTATACAGAACAGAATGGAATAAAAGCCTAAAACTGAGCCTGGCTTACTTTGCCTGCTGAATGAACAATGTCTTCCTGAGATAATCCCCTGGCAACCGGAAGGTCAAGAAGGGCCTGGAGCGGTGACTCCTTTACCAGATGTCGCGTTTGCCTGGGCCCTTTGCAGTGTGCAGTGTTCCTGCCCCAGCAGGGCATCTTATCCTTTGGATGAGGACTGTGTGGTCTTTTTAGCAGCTTGAAATGATAATATAACCTGTCTGTCTGTGGTGTCGAGGCTGTTACGTGTTTTCTTAGTGGTTTGGTCTCAAAAATAAAAATTTCATTGTCATCCCTGTGTTCCAAAAGAAACTAAAATAAGTAGAAGTAGCTGGAGGTTAAAACCCTTCAGGGCTATGTGTTTCCCAGAGTGCCAGCCCTCTCAGGGTCAGGTGGAGGTTAGGCAAAAAGTTGATGGATCAGTAGAGAGAACAGCTGTCCAGAGGGGCCTAAGTGATAGCAGCTGACAACCTCCAGTAAGCAGAAGGTCCAGATGGTGTCACACACTCACTCCTGTCTAAACCTCGCCATCCCTAACATTCTGACGCTCTGAACTCTACTTCAGGCTATGTTAAGTTGCTAAATGGCCTAGACAGCAGGAAGCTAACCTGCTAGACTAGCACTGTCTAACAGAGGGCCTTTATCTCAAAACTGCTTAAGAAGATGGCAGGACACTTGGGCATTGGGCATATTCATTGAAATGCCCAGACAGCACACAAACGGAGGAAAAATCTTGTCCATTGCAAAGCCCTAGATTTCACTCCTGTTTTAAGTCCACTAGAGGTTCTTGTTATTTATTTATTTATTTATTTATTTATTTATTTATTTATTTATTTGGTGGAACCAGGGATTGAACTCAGGCCCTTGTGCTTGCCAGGGAAGTGC